CTCCCTCCCTCCTCCCTCTTCGCAAGTTCGACTCCGTCCTGTCGTCGCTCTTTGGCATGCGGTTAGCGTTGCGTATCTTGCGGCCGCACTCGCTCACTCTCACTGTCTCACTGTCTCACTGTCTCACTGTCTCTCTCTCTCTCTCATCTCTCTCATCTCTCTCATCTCTCTCATCTCTCTCATCTCTTTCTCATCTCTCTCATCTCTCTCTCCTCTCTCTCTCTCTCCTCTCTGTCTCTCGTCTTTCCGTCTCTCTTCTCTCTCTTCTCTCGCAGGAGGATCCGGGCAAAGAGCCACATATAAAGGACTCTTCACCCCTGCCTCCAAAAAGAGCGCCGTGTTTTTTCCTACCTCGCTGCCCTCCACTTTCCCATTCTGGAGCGCTAGCTTTCGCCCCCCCCCCTTGGCCTCAAGTTGTTGTTTTCAGGCGGATATTGGGGAACTTCTTTTGAACAGCATTGTGTTATTTCTATATAATTAGTTCGTTCATGTTTTGATGGAAGCAGTGGATGCAGATGAATGCGGTTCATCCAAGTAGAAAGTCATTCTCCCAATCATGAATTTCACCCATCACACTAGCTGGCGTGATGCGGTTGCATCGGAAAGTCTCAAGGTCAGCTGACTGTGAAGTCTGTGAAGCTGGTGGTCATTGGCTCGCATATGGGAAGCAACATGGAACCCCTGTCCTTGGTGGAAGCCTGCCTCAAGAAGGCCTCAGTGACGCCTGTCATGCAGTTTGGGGCTCTGGACTCTGACGGATTCAAGCGCTGCGAAAGAGCTTGGTGCGAAATCTCTTTCGGTGCAGATGTCACCCCCGGCGGAAGAGGGGTTCGTGTGGTGGCATGCGGTGGGATGTGTATGTTTAGTCAATAGAGTTGCTTTAAACATGTTCATGTTGTTTGATCAATAGATCTATATACATTATGATCTATTAGTTTGATCTACTGAAGTTATAATATGAAACGGGTCACAGAGATTGGTGATGGACATTGGGAGAAGACTCGTATCCCAACTTCCGGCGGTTTTTCATGCCAAGCGCTAGGTCCAAACGAAATACGATGGGTGGTGGTTGATTTGCATTTTGTTCAGTGTATTTCACACATCAAGTCATTTCCAACGCAGCACTACATGCAAACCGTGCTGGGTCAATCTAGGAGCCATGGAAATCACAAAAGAAAAAGAAGGGGTACAGTAAGAGGGTTGAGAGTGGCCCGGTGTTTTGTGGGGCGGAATCGATCAGATCGATCCGCGGTCGATCTGGGAACCGTGTGCAGTATTTCTTCTCAGCTCCGAACCGTGGGGGTTTGGTGAGATGTTTGCAGGTTGTGAGAAATTTGGTGGCCCCTTTTTGCGGCACAAGCATGCTAACCGGCCACCACTTGACCACTCTGGACTAGCGGAAACGAGTGGTTTGCTTTTGTTAAAGGATGTGAAGTCGAGTTGAGAGCTCTAAAGGGCGTGTGCTGAGCAGCATGGCGTTGGCGCTCTCGCGCGCCCACAACCATCACGGAGCGAGTCCTAGGACTGTGGACACCACGGTGCTCGGGACCACCTACCCTTTTCCAGAGATCATGTGCGAATCCTTTGGCCATTGCGCCAAGCAAGTCCACCTAGACCAGGCAGTTCGACTGCTGGTACAGCAGATGTACCGACCTACATGGGAGCCGGCACAGTTGCTGGACTTGCTGTCGAAGGGCTTGCAAGACGCTGAAGCTTGATTTGACACCGGACCGTGTGTTTTTTCGTAAAGGTTTGCTTTCTTGATCTTTCTTGGAGTGTGTTTTTGTGCGCCAGAGGGCAGGGGCCAAACACTGCCTATAGTATAATGGCTCCATCCAAGAAATCCAGACACGAAGAATCGTATGGATTAAACAATTAGTTGTCTATTGCTTGGATTTCTCGCTGGAATGCCATTCCGAAGAATCTGAAGATTGATCTCAAGATACTTGGATTGAGTTGATGTGTTGCTTTCCTGGCGCGAAAGCCGTGGCTGCCATGGCAGGATGTAGCACTGGAGGATCGTAGACGTAGACATATCTAAATTCATAAACGAGTCAAGGGAGGCAGGAATGACAGACCAGTTCACTGGGACCACCTAAGTGCCCAGCAACAATGAGAGCGTTTTTTTGCCACTTCTCCGGTGACGCAAAACCTTGAACCATTCCGAAACAGGAGATCTTGCATAATATAACAACTCGTTTTCAGCAGCTTGGGGTCATCCCCAAAAAAAAACATCTGCAACGCTTTCCTGCTACCAAAGAGACGGGTCTTGAAGACGAATTCATTTGTATGTCTATATCTACTTACTTCCAGGGAGCCTCCTGCAGCCTTACTCTTAGCGACCGAGGCATTGATTCAGTCGGACTTACTGCTTTGTGCACAGCCGATGGCCTTGTGTTCCTTCTTGCGTAGTCTCACCGAGAAGCCCATCCTGCTTCTCTGAGCCAATCGCGGGGGGGCGGCAGCCGGCACTGGTGAGGGTGGTGTTTGTTCTGAGAAGATCAACGACCCTTCGGTTCCCCCCCGAGGTGGGGCATCCACTTTTGGGGTGTGACCCAATTTGGGTTTTGTATGTTGCCAAAGGAATCCTCTAAAGGGGTTGACTGGGATCATACAGTGGGTCCTCCGTGGGTCTCCCTATTTTTATACACACCCATTTATGGCTCCTCTTGAGGATGCCCACACACGAATCCCCGCAGACTTGAGTGGATCCGGCTCCGACTTTGCACCGCGCGAGCGCATTCAATGAGGTGTTCGCAGCTTCCGAAAACCGTTCCAGCTGGCTGGGAAGCCGGGCCATGTTTTGTTCACTAGATCTGGGCCCAGCTCAAGCGCTATGGAGCGCCTTTTTGGTGCAACGATGTCCAGCGCACCTTTTCATATTTGATGAAGTCAAACAGGGAGGGGTGGAATCCCCGGCCACCGGAATTGACCCGAAAGAAACCTATACACCAACTGCTTACTTTCTATTAGAGATCGCTGGTCGAGGGGGTAGATTTCGCCGGAACGGTGATGAAAGGGGATTAGTATCAGGGAGGGAGACTTTAGTATTGAAGGGTCACAAAAAAGTAAAGAATCGAAAGGCCCAAGCCCAAGCACTACGTACAGGAAAACAAACTGAAGGAAAATAGTGAAGGAATACAAAGAAGGAACCAAAACATAAAGAAATAACAGTTCCAAAGACTAAATAAAGCTAGATGAATTTTGAGCCAGCGAACAACTTAACCTTATTTAGGGCACAATTTATCTAGGGTTTGGTGGCTTCACGAGGGTACCTTTCCAGATTGATTCTTTTTGCAAGTTGATAGTTTCTTGAGTAAGGTAACCAGGTATTTAGAAAGAGTTTTTGCCAAACGGTTTTTTGGATTTTGTTGATTCCAAGTTATGCAAATTCATGCACGCTCCAATAGACACCAATCAAACCATAAAATCATCAAATTTCCCAATGAGACAGCAGTGAACCATGGTGGGCACCAGAGATCTGCTTTCAGAATCAGATAACACTATCTTAGTGAGAAGTACATTCCTGGACCCTCCAACAGGTGTTTCCTGGTGACAACAGGTGCCCAGAAACCACCTGTTAGGCTTCTAAAACCACCTGTTGGAAGGTCCTGGTTCATTCAAATTTCAGTGGACACCAATCAAAAATGAATAGCGTCATCAAATCCGATTGGAAAATCAATCATGGGCATCAGACATCTGCTGAACCAAACGAGCAACAAAGTAAGATTTCATGGGAAGCAACTGCAACACAGAGTATTGAAAGAGGAAATCGGGAAAATGATTATATAGCTAATATTGAGGGTCGACATTATGTGTTGAACATGAACCAAACAACCCTATAGGCCTATAGGTCACATGTGTTGGTCCGGAGTGTCGGGAAACGTGTCTTTTTTGGATCTGGAGCTTCCCACCTCAAATCATAGAAGAAGGCACCATTCATCTGCGAACATTTGCCCTGGAGGCTCAGTCTTCTGAGAGGTTGAGGGGTTGGTAATTCCTTGGATGCCTTCTCTTTTGCTTGAATAATCTTGAAAGAACGTTTGGCTCAATCAGGCTGTAAGTTCAAGTCCTCACTCAAAGATTCTAGCATATAGCACCGTATATCCAGAAGTGAGGGCATCCACATATTTTTGTTGAACTGACCTTGTTGATCTTCCTGGACCTTCAAGGGGTGTCCTGGCTGGAGGTGGCTGGGGCGAAACCAGCCAGGTGACCCCGCACATGAAGGTGCTGGTTCCTGTTTTATTGGTTGTCTTCTTAAGCCTCAGACCTCCACTCCGCTGGGGCTCAGGCTGTATCAAGCCTTCCCTTTGGTGGGCGCCACACCGATGGCCTATCGACACCTACTCTTGGTGCAGCTTGGCAGCGGTTTCGTGGGAGAGTCGCAGCGGGAGACGTGCGTGCAATGCACGGTCCATGCTGAAGAGAAGACACAGCTGAAGGGTCTGGCTGCAGAAGAGAGTCTGGAACATGACCTCTCACTGTTCTTCCATTGAGTTGGGTTTCACTTTTTTCCGAAGAGTTGACTATAGTGAATTCAGGGTTTGGAGTGGGAGGGTCTTCAACCAATGAAGCTTTGTTTGGTTCATGCTTGTTCCTTTGTCCATGTGATTGTCCTGCTCGAGCAAGCGCTTCCGCACCCGACCGCCTGAAGGACTTAGAGCTTGGAGTCTCCAATCGTACCGAGTTAGGAAAAATGGATAGCTGTCTTTGGATACGCTGTTGTACCATGCCCTGAGAGTCAAAGACTATCAACAGAACGGTCTTTAGGTAGCCCGAAAAGGAAGATGCTTAGCACTTCTTTCGGGCAAAATATAGTCTTTGGACTTCTAGGGCATGTTTATACAGGAAGAACGAGTCATGTCCGCCATTTTCCACTTGAAGGAGGGTGCAGGTAGCACGGATTTTTCAAAGGTCATTCTCGCAATATCCCAAGTACCAGCTGGGAAAGGGTGTCCTATCTTTCACCAGCTCGTCAACAAGGGGTCTTGGCGTTCTTTAAGGCCTGGCACTTGAATTGGTGAAGCCTCTCCACTTCCGTGTGGTCCTTTAACCCCTTCTGAGCCCCCCTCCATTTGAGCTGCTCCTGTTGGTCTCTTTTCTCCGTGAGAGGCAGCTGCGTGAAGTGCAAGTGGCCAACCCCCGACGCTCCGCTTTGGTGGCCTACTCGGAGTTCCTGGCGCAGCAAGTACAACGACAGACGGGCCAAAGGCCCTTGTGCTTGCGGCCGCACTCTCTGTATGCTCTAGGCGGGCCGCACCCTATGGTTACGGTGCACCCTACAGGGGCGCACCACCCCATGACAAATTGCACTGCTGTATCACTGGATCCTAGAGACCACGCCACAGCGACCAACATCACAGGCGTAGCACCCCATGTTCCAGGTAGAAACCATCGCCGTATAGAAGTCCACGTGAGCGGAGTCTTCTTGGCACGTGAGGCGCCGGCCGCTATCAGCCAGACCGCGAGCACCCGCGCATCCTGCTGGGACGTATGGCTGGCTGGGCACGGAACAGCGCGGGCGCCGCGGTGCGCCTGATCGAGGCACCGGAGGGCGCGCCTCTGGTGGTGGAAAAAAGCATCACGATGTACTGTAGCTGGTGGCCGAATTACCACTGTAGGGTGTGAAAAGCTATTTGGATTGGTGTTTGAACATGGTTTTCTTGTTTCCATGATGGGACGACAGCCGGTACAACATGGGACGACAACCTGTCATGAATCATGAACACACCGTTTGGGAGGAGCATGTGTCGGAGCGAGGGCGCCATGCACAGCCGGTCGTCCGGATCACAGGTCACCACCTGCCACTTTGGGTCCTCTCCATGCCTCAGCCACCCAAACTCGGAGGTTTCGGTGGGGGGGGGCTAGTAACTATACCAGCTATCCCAGACAGGACCTGTCTGGGACTGCCTGGCTATGCCGATCAATTGACCCCCAGTCAACCACCCCAATGTGGGCATATATGGCATACATGGAGTGTTTGATCTGGGTATTGTTGATGCTTCGCTCTGATTGTTCACTCGGTCATAGTCATAGTCGCTGTCCGAAGCTGTTCGCAGGCCTTTGCGGAGGACATGCTGCGCCCGGGACAGCTGCGGCTGGTACCTCGCGACCCCAATAACATCTTGGTGTGAGAGTAGCAAGGGTCTGCAGCAAGGGCCCCACTTGGTCGTGCCAATGCTGAAGATCTTGTTTTGGCTGCCCAAACGCTCATTGGACCCTCATAGCTAGCGTTTTGACCCTCACAGCCAGGGTTTTGGACCTCAAACATGTAGCAGTTTGAGCAGTTTGAGGGTCCATGAGCCTTTGGGTGGAGATCTTTTCAAAGAAACTCCGAGACTCCCGTCTCAAAGCTTCTACCTCTCTTTGGGAGGCACCCTGCACCAAAGTTGTAAGATCCCCAGTCAGAGGCTACCAATCTCAGACCATGTCATTTTTGGAGGACTCTATAGACTCTATTGTTCTCCAGTTTGGCATATGAGAAGTTTGGCATATGGCACATGAGGACCACCGAATTCGAACCACCGGCTGCCTGAAGGCAGTTTCACGGACATCTGATCTCGGCGCCAACCCATTGGGACCGAGCTTCGGGCGTCCGGAACCGGGAAGGGCGGCAGATTCTAGAGGTTCCCAAGGTGATTTTCGCTCTCAGGTGTCGAGTCTCAGGTTGCTTTCGCTCTTCATCAGCTCAAATCATGATGAACTGCAGGTCGCTCACTTCTTCTTCGCACCTGCCTAAAGCCGAACGAAAGGCGCCTTTCAGCGCGCCGAAACACCGAACCCCTGAGGCCACCGGTCGATTCCGAGGTCTTCTTAGGCCTCCACCGCGAGAGCACCGACCTCGTCGCCGGCCTCAGCCGCCCCTTCGGCTACGCCGAGCTGCGGCGCTACCGCGGCGCCGTCGCTGGGCACACGGATCGATCGAGGCGCAGCACGCCATAAAAGAACCAGATAAAACAAGTAAACAGACACGACCCGTCTGGGGCTGCCATAATAGGACTGCCGATCAATTGGGGTGGTTGACTGGGGGTCAATGTAGGCATATATGGCAGTCCCATGGAGTGTCTGGGATATAGACCTATGGAGAGCCATTTTCTGTAGATGGTGTTTGAAGTTTTGTTGACTCAATGAGATGCAGGCGATATTTTCACGTCAGGGTGGCATTGTGTTGGAGCTTGCGTCCAAACCCTCATGTTCCCTGGCTTGGCTTGCTGCAGAAGTATTTCTTAGCATGGTTTTCCACGGTGTGGCTTGTCGTTCCTCCTGCATCATGGACAAGTGGAATGAGTTGGCATGGAAATGCCATGAAATGCTTGCAAGACTCTTTCAATATGATGTGACGGGTGGGCTTCCCCAGGTCCCAAGCCATCTCTGAATGCTTTGTGAATCATGCCGTTTGTTGAATATGTCAGAGACCACTCTTCTTTGCACGTTTAGATCACACCACCCAAAATGTCATTTGCTTGGTCTGATCAACACGGGAATAGATCTATAGAATTACTCACCTTAAGGTTTTGCCCTGCAACGCTTGGAACCACCAAGGGCCGCCCAAACAACGGAAAAGAATCAAACACCTGCATCGGCCAACGCCCTCACGCGTTTAGCACCCGACCTCTATAGCTCTCATCCCTTGAAGGGACCCCCCCTTTCATGAGGGGTTCGAGTCAGAATCTGTCCTTCTCAGAGGAACCCCCCCCCCCCCACCCCATCCTCCACGCTGGGTACCGAACATCGTCACGCCTTGCGAACGAGCCTGGGACGTGGGACGTGGACGAAAGAGGTCTACTTCCCTTGGGACATGGGGATGCTCCTCTTCAGCGAGTTGTATGCCATTGGAGTCCCACTCTTTTTGCCGGACCGAGCTTGGATCACCTCCATCATCAAGCGTCCCTGAGCTTTGCGGCACGTGGAGTTGAATGACACCTCGGACATGCTTACTACAAGCAAGTGTGTCTCAAAACGGGAGGAACCGACCAAAGAAGCGTTTTGAGAAGAGGTGCACACCAATGGGAAGAGGAAGAGGTGAACACCAAAGATGTTTGGGAAGAGGAGATGATGAACAATTGATTGGAGCTCCCTCCTCATTTGACAGATCGGCTCATACTCTGTCGTGTTTGAGTAAGCACGGAATCACATATGAGCAGGGCAACATCAACCTCGTTGCAAATTGTAGATGACCCGATCACCTGCCAGAAGTGCCAAAGCCGATGTGGATGAACATCCGGATGTTCATCGGAACAATTTATAGGACCAGTGGCTGACAGGCTACAATCGCAAAGGGGGCGGGGCCTTTGTTGCTTTCTTTGCTCCAAAACTCAATCCAGCGAGGTATGTTAGAATACACCGACTTCGGTTGGTGGCAAGCGCGGGAAGATGGCTCCGCGGTGGTCTTGGCCAACTCCACCGCTGACGGAGAATCTCATCGCTTCTGGCCCTGGATGTCGGCGAATTCCACGATGAAGGAGATCTTGGAGTCGCTTTGGAGCAAGCTACTCTCAGGGTCGAGTCGGTTGGAGGAACAAAATTCGGTATGAGGGTTGAAGATCTTGAGTCTCATCGAAGCAAACACTCCTTCGTCTCCATCCCAGGGTTTTCCTAGAATTCTTTGAGTCACATGATGTCACATGTGACTTCGCATGTGGCGCGACCAGACATCGACATGCTTCGAATCCTGTATCATACGGTCCCCGAATCTCGGAGGGGATCAAATCTGTTGGTCTTCAGGTGAGTGATGTTCAATTCGACATCCGACCTTTGGTCCTTGCCAACCCCGACCTTTGGTCACCTTCCCATGGTCCAGGTCTGGCGCACACATGCACATGGAAGCCACGACCTGGGAGGATGCAGGGTCACATGCAGGTTGATGGTCTATGAAGAAGGCACTTTTGCGTTACCCTCCCTCCAACAATCATGCTTAAGTGGACGTTCTGGCCTCCTGGAACACTTCTTTTCCACTACCAACAGGGGATTGTCCACTTCCATGTTTGTTTCCGGGGAGTCGGGAGTGTAACGCAAAAGTGTTTTCGCGCTCGAAACAGAACTCCGACGTTTCTACTGTTCCGTTGACGCACGCAACCCTTTCATAGTCATAATGATGCATGCTGAATTGGTTCCAGCTGACATCTGCTGATGCATACCAGGGCATACCATCTTGGCCTCATGGCGGTTCTTTCACTCCACCAACTCGTCCCAGTTCTTCCCCAGAAAAAAACGCAACATAGAAACACACGCACGCCACGTGGCAACGTCGCCCACGTCGCTCGCCCTGCTCGCCGCACGACTCCCCGAGGCTGTACGACTTGACGGACTTCATCCGATGGTGGGGGCGGCCTTGGACGAACCGGCGTCGGGTGAGTCGGGTGAGTCGGGGACATGTCCCCGTGTCGGGACACAGAACGACATAGACCGGCGTAGATCCGGGTAGATCCGGTGAGCGAAAAAGGGGGATTGGGGGTTTTGGGGTCGTGTTGCTTTTGAGGCAGAGACTGGAATTTCCTGAAATTGGCTGAAGGGATCCAGGTGTCTCAAAGTATATATCCATTTATAAGTGCCCATGATTCTAGTAACAAGGGCATCGCGGCATCGCTACTAGTAACTAATTTACTACAGTGACAAAGAAGCTACCCTTGTTACGAACGTAGCGATGCCCTTGTGACTGGGTCGCCCGTCCTGGGCCGGATCCGCCTCGCCATCGGCAGGCCACACGTGAGCCGCTTCGGCAGCTTCGGCGCGCTGATGGCGCAGCTGCTGGCGGCGGAGTTCGATGCCACCAGCAGCTGGGCGCCACGTTCGATGCGACCCGAGACACGGAGCTTGGAGGGTGTGGATGGTTGGGGCACGAACTGTGCTGTGCGGGCATGGGTGTTGCTGGCTTCAGGTTCTCTGATAGATTCAGCAAGAGCAAGTAGAAACTGCGATGCATTGGATGTGACAGATTTGGTGATGCTGGATTCGGAGCTTTGTAGAAGGATGTAGAAGGCATATACTGTCCCTATAGGCAACATATTTTTAGATGTATGGAAGCTTCATGAGGCTACGAAAGGCTCGTTTGCTGGTGCAGTCACGTTAAGGCACAGTATACGGGTACCGAAACTGAAGTCAAAATGCCAAAAAAGCATTGTATATCCTTGTTCCATGACAGATGTTCCTGGAACGGGGTTGTGTGGATATACATTACACGCACTACATGGTGTTCTGTGTTGGATGAAATGGTGTTCATTTCTCTTCATGCTGTGCCACGTATTTGTAAATTGGAGTCAGTCAGATAATATGTTTGTTCTCTTGAGCCTACATGTCACGTTCATGTGATCACACCAAGAAGTGAAGATTGTTGGTAGAGAACAGAGATGTACCAGATGACCTGGAATAAATAGCTGCGAATCGAGTTGGGTATGGAGGTTTATGGCCTACCAACTCTAAGAAGTTCCCGATCTCACAGGTGTAGTGATTCACATGAGTCATAACTAGGGTAAATACAATTCCAGTCCCCTGGATGGTTGGGATATGATGGATGAGATGATGTCAATTTTCCAAGTTTCTGTGGTATTTGGATCCTTTTTTGGGAAAAAGAAGTCTCTGAGAGATGCAGACTCAGATGAATCCAGGAGCCCCTAGTAGCTTCTTAGCGATGCCAGGAGCCCCTACTAGCTTCTTGTTACTACTAGCTTCTATGCTGCGAGCTCTTAGGTGAGGCGATGTTGCGCTGGAATGATGCCAGCTTGCCCTGGTCACTTCCGCCTGGGTCGGAGCGCGACGAGAGTGGGACTTTGGACGAGGGCAGTCCATGATTGCATTATGAAGTACAGTATTCTGGTAGGTTTCTCAGTCCATCTATACTGGAAAGCACTCCTCAGCTATAATACAATTGAATACAAGTCTCGCTACCACCTGAGAAGCTGCTGCTTCCACCCCCCCACAGCCGGTTGCTTCGTTGGGGTCCGGACGGTGGGGCTTTTGAAGGACAAACATCCACGAACCATCCGATAGTCTTGGACGTACTTCTAGTCTTTAGCGATCCAAGTACCTTCTCAGGTTTGGTATGACTGGACCCTCCTGGCACCTACATAACAGTGTCGAACACATCACCTTCTCAGAGGGTATGTGGATTTTTTAGAGTAGGGTGGGAATAATCAGCTTTGCACTCCCTGAAGCAATCATGGGTTACGTGGACGTTGTTTATTTTCCGCGAGAGGAAGACCATTTTCCTCTACCACGAGGGAGTTGTCCACTTCCCTGATTGTTGCAGGGAGGGTATTTATCGCGACTGGTGAATATTCCGGCCATTTGTTGCTTGCAACACTGGAGTACGAAACGATTTTGGATGGCCACCATTGTTCGCGTACAGGTGCCACGTAGTGCTCTCTTCGAGCGTTATTTGGTGGATCTGCAACTTTTGAGATGATTTGAATCTTTAGCATATTCAGCGCAGCATACAGCGCTGTATATACAAGCTAAGATAGGCCTGTAAGGCCGGAACCGCTACATGCCAGCGAAGTGGATCACGACCCCCCCCATATAACAAAGGATTTGGTCCTTTGAGCAAGTTCTTCCATGTTTGGGCCGGGCGTCCTTCCATTTTCGACCCAAACACTCCATGTGACTGAAACATTTACCTATGACCTCTTTTCAACCACCCCAATCTTTGTAAATCCACCAGTCCCATGGCGTATAGCTGGGCCCCCACCTGGCCGCCCGTTTGACCGACACGAGGTCCATGAGCATCCTGTCACGGACACTGGGTGCCATGCTGAGTCACACTGTCCCGCCCACACCGGAGGAGTCGAGCTGTGTGTAAAAAAGCGAAGCCGCCGGCGTGACGAGTTCCGGGTGGAAGGAGTGGGAGGTGTTGGACGTCGAGGATGCTTTGGGGGACGGAAGCGTTGGGCTGGTGAGGCGGAAGCGTTGGAGGGGCTATTTTGGGTTGAAAGTTACCCTGACAAAAAGAATCCTGGAAAGATCGTGTCCGAAGAAGCCAAAAGACACCCGGGGGTGTTCACTTCACTTCCCATGTTTGTTGGAGGGCACCTCAACCTGGTTCATCACAAAGCTTCCTTCAAGACGCCAGCGTTGGGCTTTGGCGTCGCCAGGTGGCCCGGGTGGGGAAGCGCGGGGAGCCGACAGCCACAAGCAAATCGCCATTGGCAGCAGCTGGAGTCAGAACATGCTAGAAGCATCCAGGAAAGTAATTAGCGGTTGGGTCATGGCACCTTGAGCAGTTGGGAACTGAACATGTTAGAAGCAATCCCTAAGAGCCTATTTTCACAGCAGTGTCATGGGTGGTTGGGTCATGGGATACCTTTGATGTTTGGCACGTCAGCTGGCCGATGACTCGTTGGAAAAAACGGGGCTTTTCGACTGTGAACATGCAAGTCCTGGACGAAACGTGCCGGGTGGGAATCCGAGACAAGACTCAATTCATAAAAAAACAAAAACACAGCTATACTATATCTGGAGGGATCTATGATGAGCATTTACTGAGAATATCTAAGAATATCATAAGCCGACTCGAACAGGATGGTTTGATGTTTCAGGCCGTGAAGAGGACTCAAAGGCCGTGGACTTTTTTTTTGTTTTTCCGTGGGTCGAGCTGCTTTGTGATGATGGACGTGAAGTTCTCGGTGACCGAGAGGAACGAGGTGTTTGACGTTCCGGACATCGAGGTGTTGGACATGGCGGAGGAGGGCGGAGGATTCATGAGGTCCGGATTCATGGTTTGAGAATGTTTGAGAGAATCCAGGATGGGGAAATCAGAATCATGGCTACCTATACTGCTTGGTTGATTGAATTATAGGGGACCTTCTTGGTTGTTGTATATTTCGTAGAGCTAAGTCTGGGACGAAGTTGTACCGTATTTTGGCGCTCATCCGGCTCAAGAACGGACCATGAAAGACTTCTGAGGGAAGATCAGTTCAACAACAACCCAAGGAAGTAAAATCTGTTTCTTGTTATTTCACCCCTCGTGTGGGCAACACACCGGAACCCATCACCATCCACCCAACATGTACTGAGTATCATACTCATCAATCGGACCAATGCATTTCGATATGATCAGGGTCCCAGTCTCCATACACCTGCTACACTGCTTCACCTACTACGTCTCCTGCTACACGCCACGGTTCCGGCCATGTTTGTCCGGTCTCTCAGAACGGATTTAAAAAGATCTTTGTTGGGTCGCAGGACCTGGGGCCGACCCGTGGGGGAGTTTGGAAGGTCCTGGTGGTGGTCCTGCAGTTGTGCGTTCGGCTGAACAGCGCGACGGCTGCTGGATGGAAAGAACATGTTTAAACTAGGGTCTGTTAACATGTAAAAGACACGGCACATGTGAACATCCATGGGAACGAGGACTGTCCGGCGTTTGTCTATGATCCAGGGTGACCCTGGGATCGAGTCAGGTTGGTTTCTGAACATACCTGTCAAGAGTCACGAGTCACGCTCTGTCTAGAGGTCAGGAACTGAAGGTCCTGGTAGATTGGACACTGGATATCCTGTGATCAGTTTTAGCACTGTTTTAGCAGCACAGCAGATGTGTTGATCGCATCTGCCTTCATGAGATGTCTCCCGAACAAGTCTCCACATGGCATCGCTACTAGTAGCTTGCTCTTTTGCTACTAGTAGCTTCTTGCATAGTAGTAATGCCCCTGTTACAAGTAGCGATGCCGTTGTTACTAGTAGCTTGGCTCGAGATGAACCTTTAAGTGATTGAGACTCACCTGAGCCATTCGATAAACCTCCGTCTTCATGTTTAATCAGTGTGTTGTCATATCGAAGAAGTGCGTAAGCAAAACCTGCACGTGCGTAAGGTTGCGTAAGCTTTTTGTAAGGAAACCCTTTGCGTAAGCCATGCGTAAGCTTTGAATAAATACATGATAAATACATGAGCAACCCCTCTCAGAAGTGCTAGGACTAAGGAACAGTCCAACTCCACACATACATACACAATCCAAACTCGAATTGCTGGACACACACAGTCCAAACACCACAGCTGAACAGTCAAACCTCCATGTCAGACATGAGAAACACCAGGTGATTTTTGTGAGTTCCGGCGCGTAAGCCGCGCGTAGGCTCCGCGTAAGCTCCGCGTAAGCTCCTGTGTCCTTTTCCACCAGTAGCCCACATGCCTCCTTCTCCGAAACCGTTGCGTCAGCGGCAGCGTGTGGTTGAAGACCTCTATATACAATGTGATTTGCGCGCATCGCCCTTCCACTTCCACTTCTCCATTTCCTGCTGCTGCTGCTGCTGCTGCTGCAGGTCTGCTGCTGCTACTGCTGCTGGTGCTGCTGCTGCTTGCTTGCTTCTGCCTTCGAGCCTTCTTCTTCGTCCTCATCCTCAAATGCTTCTTCAGCATCCATATCCGAAGATTAGATGTAGTAACGGTAGTAACGTAGTAAATGTCCATTGTACAAAGTATGCAGCGCGTAAGCTCGCGTTGTGGTGTCAGCTGCATTTCGTGCAAAACAGGCGTCGCGTAAGGTCTGCGTAAGCCCTTCTTGCTCCAAGTGTACCGCGTAAGCAAACATGTGAGTCGCGTAAGGCAGCGTAAGCACAAGCGTAAGCCCAATGATACGGCATGGGATTTCATCAAGGTTTTCAGAAACGCTCACCTGATCTTTCGCAAACCCCACAACCTATCTCGCTTGCTTCCCACAGAACCCAATACAGAATCCTTCCAGAACCTGCCACCACCCCCACCTACCTGCTCTTCCGCACTCTGCACTCCTTCCGTCGCTTCTTCTCGACCCGAGGCGAAGTTCCCGGGGTCGTCGCCGGTGGACCTTGGGCGCGGCGCGACGCCGAACTCCTCTCCGCCCCTGACGAATCGCTCGGAGGAGAAGGACCGACCGCCGAAGGCGTCGCGACTCGCCGTCCGACTCGCCGTCCTGGTTCGGCGCGATTCCGGTTCCGCCGGTGGTGAACCGGGCGATCTGGGTTGGATGGCTATATATAGTGATCTACAATAATAAGTGTATTGCTTTACTGATCATGAGGTTATTTTTTACCAACATATACACCTCTACCGGGACACCCTAAGTCTGCACCTTTAGGGGTGTCTATTCAAAAAGCCCCTGAACGCCCGTGCTTCGGGGTGAATGGACGCACCACCCCTTGGGCCCCTTGAAGGTCCTGGTATAGACTGCTGAGTCTTCAGATGTGGTCAATCCACAAGCCGCCGGTTTGGGCCTTCGGACGGACCACTGGACCCTCCACCAGACCAGACTGTGGGGAGAGGGGGTGGTGGATTTCTGGGGTCGGTCTTCGTGCAGGTCAAAGATGGTCAAAGTTCCATACCTGGACCTTCATGTCGGGGTGTCCTGGGAGATCCCGGATGGTAGTGGGCTGGGGCGAAACCAGCCAGGTGACCTGAGGTGACCCCGACATGAAGGTGCTGGTATAGGTAACGGTTCTTCAAAAAGAGAAGTGAACTGGTGCATCGCCGAGTCATGCCGAGTCCGTGGGGCAGGAGGGCACCAAGCCGAGATTGGACCCCCCAAGAAGACCGGAGCAGGCGTGGAGGGTCGATATTGGGCTTGTCTCAGGATGGGCGGCCAAGCTGGTTTCAGCTCATGTTTGACGTCGATGAACGCGAAGATTGAGAGTTCTTTCCTCCAAACTTGGGGGGAAAGGATATGGACAGAAACTTGCCATGAGGTGCTGAGCTGAAATGTGCGGATGGACTCCATTGACCCTCCCAAACCTTTAAATATAAACTTTAAAATAGGGAAGGCTTTGTTGAGGGCAAGCACTTTGGAAGAGGAAAGCCGCTTTGATTTCTTATATAAAGACATGTGACATCATCCGACTAAATCCCTGATAAGTGTGTGGAATCCAACAATAGTTATACAGTATCTATCAGTATCTTAACATCGACTGGACGTGAAGCCCTTTTTTCTTTGGAAGAGTCGGACGTCGCCGGAAGTGAGCCTGGTGGTGTTCTCTTCGCCCTCGGCTGCCACACACGGGGCCGCGGCACACGCCCTCTCCGCCTGCATGGTGCCCAGTCGAATGGAGACACGGATACGGTGCAGTGCGGCCCAAACACCATGGACTTGTTGGGCGGCTTCTCCTGCACAGGCGTGGTGGGGACTGGTGAGGGCTCGGGGATCTCGGGGCGGCGGCGAGAGGAGGGCTCACCCCAAGTCTCTCCAGACATCGCCAGACTGATACTACGAGACTGAAGGTCGGACATTCACGGTGATTTTGGGGCGGCAAGTTCATGGACCATTTGCAGCTTGCAGTCCTGAATATTCATGGACCGTTTCTAGATGTTTCTAGATAGTTGTTCCACTTGTTTCTAACTTGGCAAGCTGGATTCGACCCAGTGTCATGTCGAGTTTGGGCCGCGAGCGGGCACCACATGTTGTGACGACACGTTGAAGCCGACCTTATCATGGTTTATAATGTTTTATGATAAATGGTTCTTTTCACAACCCATGATGAGCCGGTTTTGGCGGAAGAAGAGTTTGACAACTGCTAGCTGCTAGCGCCCCAGGGATCGAATGATTGAAGCACTTCTGAAGTCGAAATCGTCATGGAACTCGGGTTCCATCATCTTCTGAAATACCTTGGGAAGACCATGGAATTCTTCTCGCTAGTAGGTTGGAGGACATAGTAGGTTGGAGGCCATCGCTAGTAACGTAACGGAGACCATGAAAAATTCTTCCCGATGGACATTCCGCGCTGATTGCATGGGCATCCTTGGGCATCGTTGAAAGCCCAGGTCACCTGAAAACGAACGTCGGAGAGCGAACGACGACCCCCCCGGTCACCTCCATGGGATGGCCTACAGGTCACCACCCTGGCACCACCCCAAGTGATCATAGTGATCCGGCAGTCCTTGTAGGCAGCTTTAGGATGTTAACATATACTTATATCATATGTTAACTCATGGTTCGTTATATGGAGTGTTTGCGTTAATTTTCCAGGCCCCAACTGGAAGTTTTGGATGTGTCATGTTCTATGTTGAGAGACTTAAGGTCAATCTTGCTGGAGCCGATTGAACTTCCCTTCTTTCTGGAGGGTCCGGCATGGCCATGGGTGAAGTCATTCTGAAGTGCCGGCCGAGGTTACTGTTGTTGAAAACGCGTTGCAAGAGTTCTTTGACCCATCGAACTCTTTCACACTTATGATGTTCAGGACTCATGTGTGGCGAAGATGAGGTCTATGTTGTTCGTTCTTTTGCAGTTCCCATCTTCCTGATGGAAAACACCGCCGGTCTCAACATGAACCGCCGGACCACCGCCGGACCACCGTCTTCCGTCTCAGGTGGCCGACGGAAAGCCACCACGGACTCCTCGCTGGAGGAGGCCGATCGGGACGGTCGGAAGGGCGAGGCGAAGCGAGACCAGGGTGAGACACCCCAGATGAAGTGGAAGAGGTCGAGAGAGCAGCAGAGGTGGGTGAACCCGAACGTGAAAGACTATCCTAGATGTACCCCGCCCTGGTGACGGGTCCTAGTTCAGGTCACTTCACCTCTGTAGGAAACCAGGTGGCAAGACTCTTCCAGCTCAAAATGTGCTGGCAGACTCTTATTGTTTAGTGATATTTACAATTGCTCGAACGATGGAGAAGTGTTTCAATCCATGTTTGGGTTATTAATCAAGAGTCTAGACTGTCTATATTAAATGAACTTCCGAAAAGGCTCCACAACATTTTTTCTCACAGCTGCCACATGGGCCTGATGATGGCCCTTTCTGTGCGCCTCCAAAGGCCTTTCTGGGTTCAGTGAAAGGCAGCAAGATCGGAGAGATGACACCATGTGTTGCACGCGGCCTCTACAGCGACTCAAGTCAATGTAGGCATTAACGACACCATACAAATGTTGTTTGAATCATATCCCAGACACGACCTGTCTGGGACTGCCATAGGACTGCCGCCCCATTTGCCCCTTTTCAACCACCCCAACTGATCGGCATTCATCATATATACGACATGGAGTGCCTGGGTATGATGGAATCAATCTTGTGCAAGGCAAGGATCCTGTGTTCCAGGGTACGGGTTCCCCCGTGCGAAAGATCGCTGTTTGATCGCGGTCACTGGCGGTCACTCGTTGGATCTTTCTTTCTTGGTCCAACATATTCCAAGGAAGAAAGGACTATTCGTGATCTTGCTTGTTCCAGATCAATCTTTCCTTTGCCCGCCCTTTTGAGCAACTTTTTAAATCAAGATGAGGTAGTGCGTTACCCATCTCTGTCTCAACCCGGATGTCGACGAAACAGCGGCAATGGGTCCTTCTTGCATGTGTGGCGGTGGCACGCGGCAGCGTCTGCTTTCCTGATGCCCTTCCTCCTGAGCAGCTGAAGCAGCTGAAACACCCTAATGGGGAAGAATACAACGTGGGAGTTTGGGTCAGTGATTGGTCCGCAGCGCATGTGGTGAGCCAGCTTGCCATCACACTGATCAAGGAGAAGTTGGGGTTTAACGTCTCCGATCCTTAGCTTGAATGGCGGGATGCGGTCCTTTCAACTTGCTCAAGGACCTCAATCCCAGACACGACTAATGGGACTGCCATAGCCGATCAGTTGGGGTGGTTGACTGTCTTTTTTTTCGAACCATCGGCAGTCCTATGGCAGTCCCAGACAGGTCGTGTCTGGGAATTGCATGTCACGCCACTCGCGAATCCGTCGATGCGATGCCTGTGACGTCGCAGGTCGTTGGGCGCCGCGACGCACGCGGTGTCTCCAAACGGCCAGTCTGGAGGGGGCCAAGGGAGCCGAGTCGAAACGAGTCAACCACCGACAGCTTCCAAAACCGGGCCTCCAGTCGTAGCGAAGCGTTTCGTTTTGGGACAGGGGGCCCGCTTGCCAGGAGGGTCCAGTACCTTCTATGATTGGAGGTGTAGGATACCGATCCTTGAGGCGTGTGGGCCCTTCCCTCCATGTCAGACAAGACACAAAAACCATCGACCCATCACACCATTAATGTCCAGCAAAGACATCTCTTACTTATATAAGCCTTCCCACCACCAGAAACTGACCCCTCAGAACCAGCCGAGCCTCGCCTCCATCGCCTCCATCTCGGTGTGGGGTTCGGGACGTTCTCCGCCAGGAAGGCAAGGGTGCCGGCACACCGAATGCTGTCTATGCACTGACGGGCTGTCGCAGTCCCGGTCGCTGGGACGTCGACTCATGTCACGAAACCGGAGACTCTCCCGCCGGTTTCGTTCAAGTCACTATTCCATACATGGATGGTTAGTTTGGGTATAGTCAACTATAAGAGTCATTAATTAATTATATCAACTGATATGTTATATTCGATTCATGTAGTGTATGTACACGTCTATATATCTATTGGACCACAAAGACTTCAGGCATGGAACTTGATTTCGCGGATCGCATTGAGTTCAATTTGAGTTTCATTTCAATACCCAGACACCATATCCGGTGGTTCGATGCGGTTTGAGACGATGCAATGATGAATAAGGATACAGGATACAACTATTGGAGAAATCCTTGCATAGGGAGAGAGAGAGAGAGAGCATTTTAGTTTCTTCCTCTGTGGACCTGAGAAACGTGTTTGAAACGCGTGAAATAGCAGCTCGATCCTGCGTACCATGTAAGTGAACGGACCCCATCTGCTTCTAGAATCATCCAACACCAGACAATCCCAGATGTTGATCACTCCCAAAAACCATCCCAAAGCCTTCCTGTTTTGACCCACTGACTCTTGTTTCGCCATGTGGAACGCCCACACCGTTCCACACCCCGGTGATCTGGACACCTTTTTCGCCACGGCCGCGGAAACCAGGCAACCTCATGGAGCCACAATGTGATGCCGATACTCGGCCGCCGGGGTGTGGCCTTCCACGTCTGGGGCCGGGCGGGTCGGTCGAAGAGTTGAGTTGGAGAGATCGGCGGGGTCGTTGGCCACGGATGAATCCATGGCCCAAAGACGGGTGTTCCATGATGTGTTCCTCCTTCCCTCCATGGGTCATAGCTATATAGTACTTGCTTGCGCTTCACCTCAGGACATCACTTACTTTCACATCAACCTCGAGAGTTGGGTCGAGGACTATCCACAACTGTGGATGGACATGCAAAGCCGTTATCCCTTGATGGCACCCAAGAACCTTGGATTGATGGGCTATCATGGACGGACCAGCCGCTCGGACGAACGGACCAGCCGCTCCAGCGGCTTAAGCGATTCGGTTTTTAGGAATCGGTGTGGCTTTTGACGTTATACACAACTGAGCCATTGTAGCGTATTGTAGCGTTCAGTTCACCTTTTTTTTTGATGTTCTCCAAAAGGTTCAGTTGACGTAATATGTTGCTTTATGCATCCTCCTTCCCATTTCCGCTACAGAATGGGGCCCCCCCAAGGCCACTATAACAGGGTAACATTTTATAGTAGACCACGCCCTAACATTTTAAAACCCACCAGATTCTATAGTAAGTTGGTATGTTTTTTCTTGTATGATCTTGGATATACTTGACTATTTGACATGTTTTGGTTTGCTTGATTTTCCAGAAATTTTGGATGCTGATGAACGCATCAGACTGATGTAATATATCTATTTGTTGGTATACTTATAAGTCATTCCCTGCAAGTCCGAAGTACTGGTTTAACGAGGTCATCCGAGAACGATCAAGTTTTACGAGGTCACCGCGTTTGTCGGAAGAAACGCCCTTTTGTCTCAACCACACTGGCGTCGCCGCCAGAGCCCACATAGATCCTGCACAAATCGATGAAAAAGCACTCAAAACAGTTACCAAACTCATTAAGTCACGGTACGTTACCTCCTGGAGTGATGTTGTATGGGAACCTTCACATGTTCACTGCATATTCTATAGTCCTAGCTGCGGTTCTTGGCTTAGCCGCTTGCCTGGCTGCCATCCAACTGCAAACTAGCTGCGGTTCTTGGCTTGGCCGCTTGCCACCCAAATTCAGAACAAAAAGAGGCTGCAGAATGAGTAAGCAACCTGAATGGTACTGTGCAATCAGAGAGCCAAACTGTCCTGCACATGCGTGCCTTTGCACACTTCAAGCGGAGCCTCGCAATCTTGGCCAGGAACTTTTCCATGTGTCTGCCAGAGATTGCACTTGACAGCTTCTTGATCATCCCGACGGTGTCTTCTTCTGAGAAGCAATGCGTGAACCTCGAGTTCAGTCCTGAGATGCTCAAATCCAGTGAGCAAAGAACAGGTTAAGTGACCCAAAAGACCACTGAAGCCTCTTCCCAAAAGACCAGTGAAGCCTCTTCAAATGGGCACCTTTGTGCATGAACCTGGAATTACCAGCTCAAACCACTCAAATCAAGTTCTCCTCTAGATTAAAGACCAGTCAATGTCATCCAAACACACACTCAGCCAAGAATCGCTCTCACTTGGTGCGAGCCAAAGCGTGGCAGAACATGTGTGCCTCTGGCTTCAGGAACCAGCACTGTAGCCCCATCCTGTCAACTGACTCAACAATGGCGAAGGGCCCTTGATGTCTCAAATGGCCCTTCAGGTCTCAAGGGGCCGTTGAAGTCTTTAAGATAAAGGGAAATTCGGTGCCCCCCCTCAATGGAAGTCCTGTTGGCTATTTTGAGGCAGCCGATGTGGTGGTGCAGAAAGCGCTTCCCAGGGCTGTGGATGGCACCAGCCTGATCCTGTGTCCTGAGCACTTAAAATAATCTCTGATATGATTTCTACTTCGGGCTTCATTGATGCCTACATGTGTGCTCTTGAATCTTTGAAGACAATGCCCACCACATCCTACCACAGTTCTTGGCTTAGCCACCTGCCATTTGGCGTGCTTGAATGGAAATGAAATGAAAACCCAAAAAAGGGCGCCCAATCGGTAAAAGAACATTGGAACTGAACATGTCCTGCCACCCCCCCACCACTTCACGCTATGGTGCAAGGTTCTGACATGCGATGGTTGTCACCAACGATCTGTCAGAGGTCATACCCAAGCCGGCCTTCCACTCACGTGATATCTTCTGGTGCTCCTTAATTGCAATGACACCAAAACAGGCCACTGGCCCTACCAGCACTTTCCACCCTAGACCTCTTCAAAAGGGGCCAACCTGGTTGTGGGTGGGTCAGGGTCCAGAAGGGTCTGATAATTGTCGACCTGGTTGTGGGTGGGTCAGGGTCCAGAAGGGTCTGGTGGTGGTCTGGAAGATGGGTCTACCAGGGCCAATCCAGGACGGTCCGGACAATGGGTTTGGTGGAGATAGGAAGATCTTCACTCATGAGGATATGTCAAAAATATGGGAGTTGCAGGAGGGTAAGTGGTCTGCTGTAACACCAGGGAATGTGGTGGATCCAGTTGAGCTCACAAACTGTAAGGTCGCAAAACTCATTTGATCGGACCAGGTCAT